TTTTGGCGGCCTCTCGTTTGTAGTAAGCCTATGGTAGGCTTTGCACCTAGGACACAAGGCCCTCTTCACCATATCCAGCTGCTCTTGCATAGTAGCGGAATACTTGATTTTGTTATAGGGAACTTCTTTGAATGATTTGTTCTTGGAAGAACTCTCGTCCCCACTGGGTGTTTCCACACCTTTCCCACTTTTGTCATCGAGGTCAACCTTCTTTTGCAGGGTCTTTGTTGCCCTACTTTCACTACGTTAATGGTAGTGGTCTTCTGGAAGGGGCCCCTGTCAATTCTCATCTTTGGTTTGCCCTTGTCATTGAAAAGTAGGTATCTTTTGTTAAGCCCTCCTAGATGGCATTTTGGAACATCACACAGTTGTTGGTGGAATGGCTCCACAAATTGTGATACTTACAATAGGTTTTTCATTTCAACTCCAAGGCTGAGGGGATCTTATGGTCATATGACAGCTTGATGATGTCATCAACCAAAAGATGGTCAAAAATCTGATTGGCCTTTGAACTCATACTTCCAGCTGTTGTCATTAACTCCCTTCTCAACATTCACCAAAGTCTTCATGTGGCCTTGCTCTTCAAAAGCTATAGCTAGGGCTTGACATACATATGGGCATCTACCCACAATTTTGGCCATGTTCACCTCCATGCTCTGTTCTATTTCCACCATGAGTACTTCAGTCTTAGGATCGCGATAGTAAGTGCCTTTAGAAGCGTTATTGCGGTCTTGCTTCTCACGTAGTATTTGCTTATAACGCACTACATATATTGCTAGTTTGAAAAGATTGCTAAACTCCATGCCTTCGAAATTCTTCCACAGCTCAAAACTGAGGCTATTCTGGGAAATGACGTACATATTCCATTTCTGGCAAGGTCAACTTGCACTTGTTTCTAGCCTTCTTAAAGTTAGTAATGTATTGCTATGCCATTTCACTAGTCATCTGGTACAATTTGGCTAGGTTGGCCATTGCTACTTCGGGCTCTATCTAATAGGATTATGCATGAAAACTTTTCTTCCAGCTATTACTAGCCTAACACCAAGTTAGGTGGCAAGTCGATGTACCATCAAAATATGGTTCCAATCAAGGAGTTTGCAAACAAACTTAACTTCAAGAACTCATGTTCTCCCACCTTGCTGCATTGCATGATGAATCACTCAATATGCTCTACGGTTGGAAGATTGTCCTCTCCCAAGAATGTGGCAAATATAGGGACTTTATAACCAAGTGGATATTCATGCTCTCTATCCACCCAATTAGGATATAGCTTTCGATATGTCGGCCTGGTGACTTATCTCATATGGAAGAGCTGACATGCTCCTAAATAATCTCATCCAACTGGTCTCTATTCATGACCACCTATTGTGTCGCCGGGAACATGATTGGCGGCTACCTCTTTTGTCCCCCAATTTTGGGCATGAGAGGGATGTCCTCCTGAAAAAGAGGATTATTATTTCTCCATGCCCGTTTTGGGCTTGCTATACTCTTGGTGCACCATGTATGGATGAAACACTGGTTGTGGTGCTTATGATGGGGGTAACGACTGTTGTCTTGCAACCTTTGGTCTATTCATCATCTCAAATAGTCATTCTAACGCTCATCTTGTACAACCAAATTCTTCTCTTATCAAATCTCCAATGCCATTAATGAATCACGATACTTGCTAGAAAACATCATGAGAAATTGCCTTTATTGAGGCCTCTGTCTCTGAGTCGAACGCTTAATTTCCTTGCCCCTTAGGTGGAGGCAACTCTTATGGAAAGTTGGGAACACTAAACCTGCCTTCTTCAACTATCTCGTGCCTTGGAGGCACGTTTGCCAAATTAGACTTGGCTTTTTTAGGTGTCATTGTTTCTATAGTGTTCCACTGGGCATGCAAAAAAATATGTTTGGTGTATTTTGGATTGCAGGCATGTCTAAGTTCTGAAGGACTTAGTTTCCAAATGCTTGTGACCTTACCTACTTGAATTGATGTGAGGTTCTAAAATCATGACTTTTCAGACGGTTGAAATGAAGCGTAAGATTACTTCTAAATTTTTTTCCTTGCCTTGAAGATCAAGGACTTAAACAATTTCCTTAATAACGAGCATATAGACGAGGAATTTAAGATTATTTGGAAAAAAAAAATAATAAAATAGACAACAAAGAGGAATTGATGCATGAACTATTGTACTGCAATTAAACAGAAAGGACGTCACTAGGAGTGATGATTACATTGAAAATAAATAAACTAAGCTAATCAGTGCAAATGAAGGTCCTAGTATGTGTGTGTGATCGAGAAACCTTTTCTCTGTAGCCTAGGCCTCTGTGTTTATAGGCGGTGGCTATTAATTGCCAAAATCGTCTTTTTGGGCCATGAGACCAGTAATCATGACCTCTTTTTCCGACTTCATCTATCATGCACATAAACGTCTATAACTATTTGTTCTCTTCATTATCCGAGATCCATGGAGGCCCTTTCTCTCTTATCTTTTATATCTCCCTTGAATCTTTACTAATTAATCCTGGTCATTGACCTTTACTACATGTCACCCCCAGATCTTTGGTTATTTAGGTGTAAACAGGTATATCTTGGATATCAATACTCTTTGAATACACGTTGATAGGTATTGATGTTTTCGCATGTCTCGAATAATTAACAAAATATTGGGCGAATTTCACTTTACGCCTTGAAAGATTTCAAGTTTTTCACTTTGTACTTTCAAAGATTAAGTTTTTCACACGACACCATTAATGTATAAAAAATGTTACAATGTAGCATTTCTGTTAACTTTTTGTTAATTTTTTACATTGAGAGTGCAATGTATTCTTTAAAAAAAAGAAAATGGTACAATGTGAGAAATTTAATATTTAAGAGTGCAAAATGAAAAATGTTCAGGGTGCAAAGTACAGAAAGTTCTAAAATATTTATCATTGTTTGACACTTGTCGAATACAAACCTTTTGATGCATGTAACTCCATATTAGATACATTTGACTTATACTTAGGTGGGTTGTGTAGAAAACATAAGTGATACAAACGGAGATTTCTTGTTCCAAAATGTTCATTTGAGCACGCATCACTTGTCACAAAATTTGTCAACTCTTTACAATTTATTTGGCTTGAATAATGAATTTTTATAATTTATTTCAAAAGTTGCGATGGAACTATTGCAACTAAATGCTCAGAAAAAATTGAGTATTGTCGAAGGGTAACACATGTTCAACTTTAAAATTATATAGAACATTGGATACAAAACACAATTAAGCAGTTCTTATATCAATAAACAAATTATTTTAGTTTGAGAAGTGTTTTATCTCCTAAAATTTTAAAAAGTATGGTTTGCATATATATATATATATAACTATATATGTATCGTATTTCTTTAGATTTTATTATATTATTGTATTCATATTGTATCATACCGTATCTTATATTTGTATATGTGCTTTCTAAATTGCATGTGCATTCAAAAGTGGACAGAAGAAATGAAAAGGACAAAAATTGGGGGATGGGTTTAAGATACTAGTGTTTTCCACAACATAAACAATTATTTAAAGGGTTAATTAGTTTTTACTTCCTTTTGGTTTTGGCCAAAAACACTTTATCTACTTGATATTTAAAATAATGGACATTATCTCCTTATAGTTATGGACCAAAGTAAAGTAATTGAAACCATTAATGTAATTACAAAATTACCACAATACCCATGTTTTAAAATCAAATATTTTCATCGAATTTACTCTTGAGCATAAAATTAATGGAACATGACAATAAACAAACATATTTTAATCAAACATGCCGAACTCTTTTTCCCTCAAGTGAGGCTTTGATCTGGGGCAAAAAATTACTTAAGTTTTGCTTACATATTTTTCGATTGGGGACCGAAGTCTCACCTATTTGGGTATTATACCATATATTATAAAGGGTATTTTAGACACTTAGACAATATTCTTTTCGAGGAAAACAATGGAAACAAAGCCCACAATAAGTTTTGGACATGTAGAACACACTCTCCTTTGGCTTAGATGATAAAAATAATCATTTCACTTTTGTACATTACTATAATGGGGTAATGTGATTAATTTTAAACGTCACGTTGGTAAGGTGTTTATAGTCGAAAACACAAGGAGATAAAAAAAATAATTAACCCATTATTTAATCATCCTAAGATAGGATGAACAAGTATACGATAAGGTTAGTCTGATTCCAAATAATAAAGATAAACGATTCATTGAGTTAGAGAAGAAGGCATGATGGAATTCTACTTCGAGTTTTCTTGGTAGCAGACCTTACCAAGCCCACACTCACCAGTCTCCTAGATGAGAAGATCCTGTCCCCTTCATGTCCAAAGGGAATAAACCCAAAAATTCCGAATAGGTTTAATAGAATTTTTAGTCTTAAAATATATATTTTTTATCTTTTTAATTTTCATTATATCAATTTTATCAATTTAATCCTTAAAGTATTCAATTCTTGTCATTTTGGTCTCTATATAGATTGATTATCAATTTTTTTTTGACAAAAGTGACCACATATCAAATTTTTAAATGGTGTCACGTGCTTAACACGTGATTATTTTATCCAAAACTTAACGGTCCGTGTATGTAGAAATCAAAGCGACCCGAATTAAATAATTTTAGGATCAAATTAACAAAATTAATTCAACGAGCAACAAAAAAATATATACTCTAAAGACCAAAGTACTATTAACCCCCCCCCCCCTAATAGTACACAAAGATTTGTCAAGTCAACGGATTTGGTTCCACCCCTAACCCCTCAAACACGTTCGGCCGACCACATAGGAAACCAAAGAAAAACTGGTGGATAGTGTAATCACTAGATTTGGTGATGTAATCCATACTTACGTGTGGTTTTGTTCAAATCTACAATTGTTTAATTGATGACTCAATGTTTGCTTCTTAAACAAATGCTTATGATTTTCTAATGCATGCATCTGATTTCTACCTTCATCCTGCATATAACTAAGACGAAGACTCACTTCCTCCTTTAGTTTAGACTTTAGAAAGAGAGAGAGAGAGAAGAAGAAGAAGAAGCCACCCCATGATTAGAGGGTAACGTATCAGGTTCTTCATAATTTTTTATTTATTCACCATATGAATATAGTCGCTCCCTTTCTGATCTTTTGGTTTCACAGTCTAGGGGTCACTGCTCAAAACTGAATCCAATTCAATCAAAGATGGATGCTTTCACTTATAATGAAAAGGTAAATTACTAATAAATATATTCTTCCGTTTTTTGCTTTATTTTAGGCACAATATGTACAAAACGACTTGGATGTCAGTGTATACAGAAAGATCTAATATGAAGTACCAAATAAATAAATAAAGATCATGCAAAAAAGCATTTGAAATGAGTCATTCAACCCAAAGGATAATTCTGACCAAAAAGAAAACGCAAAGGTTAACTGCTTTCTATTTGATTTGGTGATCTAAAGATAGCTGGAAAAAGTCATAATCGGCTTTTTTCTGTTTGTACCACTAGATTTCGATTTTTCATATATATATATGAATGCAACTATGGATTCCGCCATAATAGTCATTAACATTTGCTCCGGAGATGATCAAATAAGGTTTAGTTACTCGTATTTCTCCGGTGTTGCCTTGAATAATTAGAACTTTGACTTGATTTTAGGTGTAGTTCGTTTTTGGATAGGCATACATTTCCACTAATAGATTGTCCGTGACTAATTATTTCTTGCTTGTTTAGGTGGTAAATCTTCGTTCAGAGTTGGAACGGCTAGGTAAAGAGAATGAAAATCTAAGACTGTTGATAGAAGTAATGAGCAATGGGTGCAACATCCTCCAAGCCCAACTCCCGAAGATGAAAGACGATCAAATTAGAAGTTTTCTAATCGAGAACGAACGTAGCTATGATTCAGGAAAAAGAGGGAGGACCAAAGTTTCAGTCATCAAGCCTTCACAGATATTTGTGAGAACCGACCCAAACGATAAGAGCTTGGTGAGTCCTTCAAATCTTCAATGGCTGTTCATGTCTCAGCAGTCCAACAACTTGGTGATAACTAATCATTGAAGTTTCGTTTCCTTATGATTTTAGATAGTGAAGGATGGATTTCAATGGAGAAAATATGGGCAGAAGGTCACTAAAGATAATCCATCACCTCGAGCTTATTACAGATGTTCAATGGCTCCATCTTGCCCAGTCAAAAAGAAGGTATATCCGAATCATTCATTGTGATCAATGACTTTTATTCTGTTGAAGAACATTAATAATAATGTTACATCATCTCTAATAACTAAATACTTGTAGATAAATTGGTGGCTTAGATCGGAATACTCCACGGGATTTGCATCCCCTTTGACTTCCCCTCCCTTGCGCTTCCTCTCTTAACTAAGAATTGATTTTTTAAAAAATTTTAAACGAGTTGTTATTAGTCAGTGGAGAAGCTGTTAGGCCACATGATGTAATGTAGATGGACTTTGTAGTAAACTTTCTCATGTGCTATGACGAGGAGGCAACTCAAGGAGCCTTTACGGGGCTCACTTCATCTGGCAAGAGAGTTGTGAAATTTTATCTTTCTTGATTTTCACTCGTGGTGCAAAAAAATTAGAGGTTAAATTGAAACAACCAACCTATACCTTGCAATCAAACTAAAGACATTACAGTTTCTTTCTCTAAGTAAATAAGAATTTCGCTTTTATTGAGGAGATATTAATGTGCTTAACCTTACTAAGCTAACGTAGTCTTGGAATCAAAGCATGAAGCAACTTGCATGAAAAGCTCATACTCGTTTTAGTTTAATTTCACTAGCTCCGCTCGCTTTAAGCTTATTTTTCCTAATAATAAGGTATTACTTGTTTGTTAGTACAAATGGCTTTTCGCCTGAACACCGGTCCGCATGGAGAAAGTATGGTAGTTTGATTGTTTTTTTTGAGGTTCCCTTTTTTGTACTCGAGTACATCTAGATTGTAAAAATTTAGAAAATTGAGAAAGAAGGCTTTCAAGGCCTTTCCCCAAGAAAAATGATTGGAATGTATATAGATAACACCCCTTGAAACCCTGATACATCCTATTATGGTAAAAGGTTGAAAACTTCAAATAGCAACTTTCCACTTTTCCAAATTACTACCACCCCAGCCTACCTCACCAGTAAATGGAATATATACATGAACTAGTTCTCCTAAACCCTCCCCAAAGATGTTATCAAAACAATTTGAAGTTTAATTCCAAAAAAGCCAATTTCCTGAATAAAATGGTGAATTATGTGAAATTGGGAAGGTTGAGAAACTACTGGTGGTGATGAGCTTTACGAATAATGTCATGACTAACTTTCACTAGATTGAGTTACCAAATTAAGAGTGAAAATAAACGGCTGACGGTGAGAAGTAAGCAAATGTTAGCATCAACAACATATCAAGTTTAGACGGTCTAGTCTGATTGTGTTACCTGCTTCAATGAGAAACATGGAGTATGCTTCTGTGCCTTTTTTATAAAATGGGGTAAGATTGTCTATAATGTGCGTCTCTCAGACTAAGATTGTGTCAGGTTCTAATGCCCTGCTAAGAAAGTGCTACCTAAGTATTTATATACTTCAAGATGTTCTCTCAAATGCAATTTTGGTATAAACAAGTTCAATTATTATTATTACTCCAAGGTGACGCTTTGATATCATAGTGAACCATCAAGACATCAAAAACTTAAATTGTTAGACAGGCTGTATCACAAGTGTATGCATACTTCAACTCCTGTCACTTGCATCTGTCATATCTTTTTATTGGTTGGAAACTTGNTGGTGAACCATCAAGACATCAAAAACTTAAATTGTTAGACAGGCTGTATCACAAGTGTATTAATACTTCAACTCCTGTCACTTGCATCTGTCATATCTTTTTATTGGTTGGAAACTTGTATCATCGGTACAACTTTTTCCCAAAAACTCGAAATTTTCCATCAAAATAATTACAAGTTTAATTCATTACAANTGTATCATCGGTACAACTTTTTCCCAAAAACTCGAAATTTTCCATCAAAATAATTACAAGTTTAATTCATTACAAATCCTTTGCATTGGAGATGATTATAACTGATGTTTGAATATGTGCTTTGTTAAAAGCCAGCTGCCTCCTAACTAAATGCCACGTTTTGTGATCTGATCTGGGCATTAGGTGCAGAGAAGCCTGGAGGATGAGTCAGTTATTGTTGCGACTTATGAAGGAGAACACAACCATGAACATGATGGAGTTGGGAAATCTACAGCTTCGCCAGATGGATCGATCACTCGAGTTGCGGATGATCCAATTGGACCAAGTATTACCCTTGATCTTACGCTTTCTAGGACGAGTAAAGAGAGTAACATACCATTTCAGAATATAAGAGAAAACCACAACACCAACAGAAACTGCAGTGACATTGAAGACTTTGTTGCTTCCTTAACTAAGGATAACAAATTCATGGCATCTCTAGCTGCAGCTATTGGAAAATCCCTTGTTGAACACCCTAGACCAACCGGAACATAAAGGACAATAACCCTCAACTATAGTCTCGATCTCTTTTTATCCCCTCGAATATTAACTTTCTGTAGTTGGATTTGATTTCATATCACTCTAGAAGCAAACGCACATTATGTTTTAAACTGAAAAGGTTCATTTGTGTAGTAAAACATACGTCTTCAATGCTTGCAATTTAGAAACTTAATCAATTGATGAGGCAAATGACATAGAGAGTATGGTTGAAGGATCAAAAGTGTAATTTATCCAAAGTGTATTCATAAGAGACACCCAAGCTGTTATTTAGAAGTTGAGATTCAATGTTGTCTCTAGTCTCATGCTAGTATATAGTGGTAAGAAACAAACTGAATTCGAGTGAAAGCAGGAGGTTTCAAGCTCTCTATCAACTTGGGTTCGTGGAACAGTTGTTCGTTCAAATTAAGAAAAATTATCAATTGTAAGTTCTCTAGCTCTATTGTTTAAAATGTAAATCTAGTAGTTTTCTTAAACTTTAGTTTGAGATTCTATATGTTTTAGACAAGAGGAACAGAAGCATTTGATCACACCTCAATCTTGAGCAATACTTAAGAAAATTTAATTTGTTATTTATTTATTTTTTCACTGCGAGGATTAGAAATCTATTTTTATTACATTTTGAAAAAAAGGTTAAGACACCAGTTAATTAGTCAAACCGACAGTATGCTCCATTAAAGTGGACTCACCTAAGAAAGTGGCTGCAAATTGAGTTATAATTTGAAGACATAATGAGTTATCATCAATGAAATATATTTAATGATGAGTCTCATTATAGCATTAAATAAATTTATTTTCATATCATTGGTGACAACTCATTATGTTCTCAAATTATGTCCATAAATTATGTCTAAATAATATTATTATTTTTTTTTAATAATGGGACCCACAAACGCAGTTTTTTTTATCGATGTGTATTTGAGTGAGTTGTTGTATGTTTTCTATGTATGTGAATGTCTGATGTGTGCAACACTCTGTTGCAACAGTAATGCCACGCTGCCCGACTATTTACATTAGCAACAGCTTTTGAGCACTGTCCCACGTTCCATCTCTGTCCTCCCCTTCTCACCCATTTCTCTCCTTTCTCTCTCTCCAACGGCACACTCCCTTCTCCGGCGATACAACAACGCCGATGATCACCCAGTTTATTCGCCCCTTCTATCTCTCTCCCCCTCCATTTAGTCATTCTCTCTTTTCCATACTTCTCTCTAGAAAATCTTTCTTTCCCCCTTCTGTTTATGGGTTTTCTTCCTTAACCAAGATTAATGTGTCTCTGGAGCATCAATGTAACCCTCTAGATCCAACCAACCACCATGCAACAAAGCAGAGAACCAACAATGGGTTTTTGGTTATTTGAGATTTGAGATCAAACCAACCACCATTTTAGTTTTATTTTTCTGAAATGGGTATTTGAGATTTTCCAATATTAGAGCTGTTAGATTGATGGAAAAGCAAAAGTTTGGAAAGGAACAAGTGACTGGCCTTTTCTTTGTTTAATGATTGTTTTCCAATGATTTTCAGTTTAATTTTTTGTTAAATCTTTTCTTCTTTGTTCGAGGGTATGAACCAGAGATTCAACACCCACATTGGCCTTGGTCTCCGACATTGGCTCCCAAAACTACTAACAGAGCTAATCAATTACCAACTAATTTGAGTATTAGAAAATTGGATTGCATGTGTGGGTGTCGGATTCTAAGTTTGTGTGGGTGACTGGGTGTCGGTGTCGGTGTGTGTGGGTGTGTCGGAGTCGGTTCTTGGGCGTGTAGGTGTGTGTATGTTGTGTTACAGAGGGATTGAGTCCAACAAAATTATGAAAGGTGAGAAGAGAAAAACTTTCAGATGATATGGAAGAACTCACCGGAGAAGACAAGGCAGAAGAAGACCTCGCCTGTGATAGATTCCATAGAAAGTTTGAAGAAGAAGATAGATGCACACAGAGAAATTAAGAGAAACAAAGATTTCATTTCATACATTATCACTTGCAGTGTACAAGTATTTATAACCAAAATTTAGTTACAACGCCAGCTAGGATTTAATTAATTAACAGACTTGTAGGTTAGTTGCTGCAACAACAGAATTGCATCCCTTCACATGACGGTAGCNAACCAAAATTTAGTTACAACGCCAGCTAGGATTTAATTAATTAACAGACTTGTAGGTTAGTTGCTGCAACAACAGAATTGCATCCCTTCACATGACGGTAGCTGATATATGAGAATTACTTGTGTGTAGTTTTGGTATTGTATAATACACCCCCTCAAATTGATGGTGGGGGACCAATCAGTAGTTTGTCTACAAGAAGCAAAATTCTGGCAGAAGATAGACCTTTGGTGAAGACATCAGCCAACTGATCCTTAGTAGAAACATATTGGATAGTTAGAGATTTATTTGCCACCTTCTCGCGGATGAAATGAAAGTCTATCTCTATATGCTTAGTTTTGGCATGAAACATGGGATTAGATGCAAGTGCCAAAGTTGAAATGTTATCACACCAGAGAGTGATTAGAAGGAGGAACCAGTGTCCAAGTTCCCCGACGTTGCAAAGTAGAAAACTCTTCAGACATAGTCTGTCTCCATTCAGGAAATTTAGATGCAGAAGTAAAAGAGGTAGGTTCAGCAACTAAAGTAGTAGAAATGTAGGCTTTTAGGCTTGAAAATACCAAATTTAGCTCTAGTTTGCATAAGGTGAGTAGAAAGAGATAGGGGCAGAACTGATGAAGAAGGATTTGGGGAAGAATTAGACATATCAGGATTGGAAGAAGATATGTCAAAAGATATAGGGAAAGTAGAGAATGCAGGTTCTGGAGAAGAAGACAAAGATGTAGTAGTAGGTACAGTAGCTGATGGATGAGAAAGAAGAAGAGGGAGTAACTCAGTAGAAGGTATAGAGGAAACAGAAGGAGGAGAGCCCAAGAGAGAAGATTGAGAAGACTGAGAAGTACCAGGAAAAGAAGAGATAGGAAACCAATGACAAGGATCAGGAGGAATATAAAGAGAAGAAGAAAAGGATGTAGCATAAGGAAAGANGAAAGGTTGTTCATCAAAGATAACATGTCTAGATGTATAAATTCTATTGGTTTGAGGATCAAGGCACAAATAACCTTTGTAATCAAAAGGATAACCAAGGAACACACACTGAGTAGTCTTAGGCTCAAGTTTATGATTAGAATAAGGCTTAAGCAAAAGATAGCAAGCACAACCAAATATTTTGAGAGCTGAATAATCAGGAAGTGTGTTGTACAGAAGCTCATAAGGAGATTTGTTGGCTGTGTTTTTGCTAGGCATTCTATTAATCAAATAAGTAGTAGCAGCAAAGGCATGAAATCAAAACTCATATGACAAAGAAGCTCTGGCTAATAAAGTAAGAGCAGTTTCAGTGATGTGACGATGTTTCCTCTCAGCGATGCCATTTTGCTGAGAAGTGTAAGGACATGATTTGGTATGACAAATGTCATGGGCACCAAGATAATCAAGAAAAGAAGAACTAAGATATTCACCACCTCCATCAGAATGAAAAACTTTAATGCAATGAGATAGCTGTTTTTCCACAAAGGGTTTAAACTTGGTATACACAGAATAAACATCAGACTTAAGAACCAAAGGAAAAATCCAAGTAAACCTGCTATAGCTATCAATAAAGGAAATGTAGTATTTAAAACCATGGAAAGATACATGAGGAGAGGGGCCCCAGACATCATTATGAATAGTATCAAGAGGGGTTACAAATCTAGATGTAGAAATAGAAAATGGTAACTTGGCCATTTTGCCATACAAACAGTATTCACAAACACAAGCAAGCCCAGAAGACTAAGGTTGTGGTAACTTGGAAGTAGAGAGAATCTGATGTAAGACTGAATTTGCAGGAAGTCCCAATCGATCATGCCAAGTGTGATGAGANTAATGTAAGACTGAATTTGCAGGATGTCCCAATCAATCATGCCAAGTGTGATGAGAAATTCTAGAGCCAAGGTAAGCAAAAGGAGAGATAGAAGAATGGTTGAGTGCATGAATGGGATATACACCATTATTACTCTTGCCTTGGTAGAGAATTTGCCCTGTGGCTTTGTCCTGAATAGAAAAAGAGTTAGAATCAAACAAGAATTGACAATTGTTATCAGTGCAAAATTGTTTGACTGATAATAAATTGAATGCAATAGAAGGTACGCGAAGAATATTAGTGAGTTTGAAAGAATAAGAAGGAATATGAAGAAAGGTATGACTTGTATGTGTAATAGGTAGTTCATGATCATTGCCAATAGAAACTTTGTCTTCTCCAAAGTAAGGAGAGGAAAGAGAAATATCCTCAAGTCTTGAGGTTAGGTGATGCAAAACACCAGTATCAGTGAGCCAGTAGCTAGGAGTGGAGTGACCAGTGGATGCAGTCATAGCAGAATACTAAGAAGAAGTATCAGAAACAACAGACAAGAGTGGTTGTTGATTATTACTTGAAGAATATTCAGAAGAAGCAACCATAGCATTGAAAGGTGGAGAAGAAGAAGACTGAGCTTGATAGACACTGTTTATACGATGATAACAGTTAACAGCACTATGACCAAAATTTCCACAGATCTGTCAATAAATCTGAGGCTTTTGTGAGAAGAAATTAGATCTAAACTGTTGAGAATGAGATCTTTTACCAAAATTGTTTCTGCCTCCTCGATGAGATCCACGACCTTTGTAACCAGAAAATCCTCTGCCTGAACCAAAATTGGGACGAGGAAAGTTAGGATCATAGACTTTGCCTTGTGAAGCAGCCATAGCTGAGGGATTAAAAGAATTTAGAAATGATTTAGAAGATGCTAAAACANGAAAATCCTCTGCCTGAACCAAAATTGGGACGAGGAAAGTTAGGATTATAGACTTTGCCTTGTGAAGCAGCCATAGCTGAGGGATTAAAAGAATTTAGAAATGATTTAGAAGATGCTAAAACAAAAATTTCTTCTGCCTGTAGCAGAGAATGAAGATCCTCAAGAGACAGAGGCTGAGATCTAGTTTGAACTGCTGTTCG